AAAATAAAATGGAATAAAAGCCATGGGGGCTGGGGATGCTCGGAGGAGCAGCCAGCGCTGAAGTCGACGCAGGGGGGATTTCCCCCGACCTCCGCGTCGGAGCAAGCAGCTGGGTGGGAAAAGGGGAAGATCAGAGCGTTTCGAGGCTTTATGTTTGCCACCTGTTCCAAAAATTCGTCTTGGAAAATTGCAGTAATTGGTTAACAGGCAGCTTTGCCAGATTCTTTTCTCCCTCCCAAATTTTAGCGAAATCATGATTTGGTTATTTGGGTTTTTTTTTTTTTAAATTAAATATTCACCAGCATTTCTCCCCAAATCGCTCGCTCCTGCAGAACGTTGCTTGATCCTCGAAGGAACAGTTGACTTCCTCGGCCTCCAAGAATGTGTATTTTCTGACGGCTTTCCCCGCAAAAATTAAGTTTTGTGTTAAAGAATAGCCCGATCAGCCTTAACAAAAGAGACCTCCCATTTCATAGTAAGCCGCTTACTTCGCTTAGCCTCGGTGACTAAAGCCGTGGCTGGAAAAATGCGAATGCTTTTGTCCTGGTGATTAAGCAGGTTTTAGTTATTTAATTTTTTTTCCCTTAATGAACTTCGGTGTGGTTTAATCCCCCCCCACACCCCCCAAAAGATCTTAACTAACCACTGCGTGAGCTTCAACGCCTGCAGGAGCCTTCAGCAATCCTGCACTGCGGGCATCCGAGAGGGCCACAGATTTGATGGGAAATAGCATCATCTCATCCAGGTATTTTTTATTGAGCTGCAAATTTGCGTCTCCCCTTTGGAGCTTTTTTTGCTCCAAGTCTCCTGCTGTCGGGTGCCCCATGTGAACTCCACTCCCGGAGTCGAAACGCTCCTTGTTTTCACGGCAGATGATGAATTTGCTCCTTTGCCTCTCAGACCTACTTAAGCCTGATATGATTTAAGGCTTTGCCCGTGCCATCCCTCCGGCGTGCTGTCCCAGGGAGCGGGACCGGCGCCGTGGCTGGGCTCGGCTCGCCGGCTTTCTCCCGCATCCCCCTCCCGTCGGAATGGCACCGGGATTAAGTGGCAGACTTGAACCGGTCTAATATTTCACAGCCCACCCCCTCCTGCCCTTTTCCACACCATCTCAGAGACATTTCCCTTTCTCCCCACGCTTCTGTTTAAAGAAGCCAGTTGGACGCGCTGAGCTGAAGGTCACGGGCGAAAATGATGGTGGGGGCAGGATCCTCTTGGCGATGCTCTTGGGAATCGCAGGGCAAGGGGACACAGACGTGGCTGGGGATGTTCTCCAGCCTGGCTGAGCTTTGAGGTCAGGTTTTATCCCCATTTTTCTGAAGGGGAGAAGACCATCTGGCTCATGACCTCTACAGCAGCTTCTCTAGGTGTCCCATGGCTTTCCCCATGGGCCAGGCTCAGACCTTGGGTCCCACCAGGCTCTGTTAGCTGGGTCACTTGGGTCCCACCAGGTTCCATTAGGTGGTCACTTGGGTCCCACCGGGCTCCATTAGGTGGTCACTTGGTCCCACTGGGCTCCATTAGGTGGTCACTTGGTCCCACCAGGCTCCGTTAACCAGCACGTCGGGGTCCCACCAGGCTCTGTTAGGTGGTCACTTGGGTCCCACCAGGCTCTGTAACTGGTCACTTGGGTCCCACCAGGTTCTGTTAGGTGGTCACTTGGGTCCCACCAGGCTCTGTAACTGGTCACTTGGGTCCCACCAAGTTCTGTAACTGGTCACTTGGGTCCCACCAGGCTCCGTTAGATGGTCACTTGGGTCCCACCAGGTTCCATTAGGTGGTCACTTGGTCCCACCAGGCTCCATTAGGTGGTCACTTGGTCCCACCAGCCTCCGTTAACCAGCTGCTGGTTGTCCTTTGGTCAAAGCAGAGTAGTCTGCTGGTGTGGGGCAGCCTCCGTGCAGGTCTGCCAGAGGGAAGGACATTTTCCCAGCTGTCTGACTCCCCATCCTCTCTGCTTTCCCAGGCCCGTGAAGAGCTGAGGCCAGTGAAGGAGGACTTTGAAGCCAAAAACAAGCAGCTCCTGGAGGAAATGCCCAAGTTTTATAGCAGCCGCATCGATTACTTCAAGCCCAGCTTTGAGTCGCTGGTCCGGGCGCAGGTGAGACACTGTCCTCTCGCTGCAGAGCACTTCCAGGTGTCCCTTGGGTGGGCATCCTCGCTGCAGAACATCTGGGGTCCCACCGGGGAGGGGAATTGCTCTGAGAGCAAGGCACCTTCTTGAGCTGGATGTTAGGGACAGGGAACACGTAGAGAAGCTCTGCGCAAATGCAGTTACCTCCAGCAATTTAATTACCAAGCGGTGAGAGGGCACAGGGAGCAGTGGTGGGACAAGTGGGACCATTGGACCTTGTCCTGGCAGAAGAGCAGGTTGGCTTCTGCCGGTGCCTGCGGTGATGCAGTGCTGGCTGTCGGGTAAAAGGGACAACCGGAGGTGAGTTTTTGCTGGTTTATATGGATCTGCCTCCTACCAGAGACACTCCTGGCATGCGTATGATGTCCTGTCCCACCAGATTGCCTGTGTAATGGGGTTCAAGCCCTGGTTGTAACATCAGCCGCTGGCATTTGATGGCTTTATTCATCTGGGTACGTCGCCTCTTTGCGCTTGTAGTCCTGAGCTCGGGGTTGGATCTCATTTGAGATGATGAGATGGCTCAGGACCCATCTTAGGGGTCTCTTCTGGCTCTTGGTACCCAGAACGGGTGCGTGCTGGCAGTGGTAGAGGAGGCTGCCGTGCTCCACACCAAGGATTTGCAGGAAGGGGTGGCCTAAATAAACCACAGCCTGCTTTAATTTCCATCCTCCAGCTTCCTTCTGTGACTTGCTGCCACTCCTCCTCCATCTTCCTTCTCCTCTCACCCTTTTTTAAGGCTGGAGGGGAACGTTACTGGGATCGAATCTAGCTTTGAACTTCTGGCATCTCGGGCGTACGTCGTGCCCTGGATCACGGGGTGGTCCAGCGCCAGGAGGTGGGCGAAACCACGTGCAGCTCCTCACGTGGGCGTTTTCCTATGGTATTTTTTTTTTT